ATAAAGATCTATAGGTCTATAGCATAGTGGTAATGTTCTATAGATTATCAAGAGAAAATCTAGGATTTAAACCTATCTGATAACAAAAAATTTATTACCTTCATAATTGATTGATCAGTTTCCAATTCATATTATATCCAATTAGCTGAAAATTAACTTTTAAATTTAATTAGGCTGTATAAAAATGGAACTTTTGATCTTTTCAATAATTATAAAGATAGAACTTTTGATCTTTTCAATAATTATAAAGATAGAACTTTTGATCTTTTCAATAATTATAAAGATAGAACTTTTGATCTTTTCAATGATTATAAAGATAGAACTTTTGATCTTTTCAATGATTATAAAGATGGAACTTTTGATCTTTTCAACAATTATAAACTAAAAACAGGTCAAAGCAAGAAAGGTTATATAAGAAAAGACTTTTGGTCTAACTTCTATAAAAGCTTATATCCTCTTCTGATATACCAAACTCTATATATTTTCAAATAAAAAGGATAACTCTAGACTAATTTATTTCATACTATAGCTTGATGCTCTATCTTAAAAATGATATTCTTTAAAACTTAAATTGGACTAAAAAAGCAAAGATTATTTGCTATGAATGATAACAATCTGGACAAAAATTATTAAGATCAAATAAGTCTAATGAGAATATCAAGATTAAATCAAAATCCAAGTAAAAATGTCAGTTTTACAAGTAATAAAAATAATAGTGCAACATTATATTAGTAGCATATTCTGAAGATTAGTGATAATAATAACTGAAATACTGAAATTGATTTCTATAATAATATTCCATATAATCTTTTCCTAATAGGCAGTTGAAAAATATAATTGGATCAATAGGATAATAGATTTAAACTAATAATAAAACTTTTTCTATCTTGTATAAGTCCTACTTGGAAGTGGACCCATTTACTTGATATAAACTGATTAATCAGGATAGTTAAATTGGTCTAGAAAAAAGTCAGTACTATTGAAAACAGTAAGATTAGATTAGTATTAAGCTATATTTATATTAAAAATAATTTAGTCTATAGAAGATATTTGATATAATGATATAAGATATTGTTACGGTGAAATACGGCGAGTCTGTCACTTCTGTTCTGTCTACGCTGTACTATGTTGGAGAATGGTTTCTCCTCAAAAGAGACATGTATATTTGGCTCGAGTTTTACAATGACGCAGGTTGATCCGTCGATCGTGCGTCGTAACTGCCAACCTTCTGCGTGGTCACTTCTTTGTTTCGTGACACTCTCAAGGTAGATAGCCTTTTTAGTGCGCAGTGCCTATCCTCCTTGATTGCCCTATTTTTATATCGTCATCTTATTTTTATACTTTTTATGCCTAATATAATTTAGCCAGCTTTGGATTTATTATCCAACTTTATACTTGTTGTCTATATTGTACTTGATAATTACTCGTTATATCTGCTAGATATTTAAAGATAATAGAATATACTAGAAATACTAGATATCTTTTTGCATATCTATCATATTACTTTTTATATTCTATCTCATTTTACTTTTATTTTTCTCCTTATTTATATAATTTATTTTTCACTTTAACAATATGTTACAAACACAGTTCTCTTAAATTAAGAGATTAACATTCTAGACAGTCAAATTAGGCAAGCCTTCAAACACAAAATTGGAGTCTCGAGTACTGTCCCAAACAGCAGCATATATATTTATATAGGATATAAACTATTCTATATAAAAGACAGACAATTCACATTACATACCAAAAACTGAATAACAAATCTAAACAAAAACAACTTGTGCAGAGCACTAACCAGAGGAAGACTGCAGCACCTACAAAATCGAACATGGATACCAGAAAACATACTTCAGTCAGAAATGACGATCGACAAATCCAAGAAATGTCTAACAAATAAAATCCTATAGATGCTCAAAGAGAAAGACATTATAATAGAACAAAACCAAGACCATAGCCTAATATAAACACATTACAGCACAGGATTGCACATGATTAAAGATATTATGAGGCAAATATGGAGCAAGAAAAACATCAAAAATATTAGGAAGCACAACCTAATGTTTATCAAACAGATCACCAATGCCCAACAAACACACATGCTTAACTGGAGACAAATCAGAGCAGTCACAGAATGTAAACCAACTGGCAAGCAGCCAAGGTGGTTCACCAAGATTAGAAAAAAATGCAGCCAACCAGATATCTTAGAAAACAAGTATACAATTATACTGACAAATTTAACAAGACCCAATCCAATCTCTCAGCTAGAAGCAGCAAAAAGCCACAACATTCAAAAGCAAAAATACTTGGCATATATAATCAACCAACAAATACACATTGAAAGAATAGATCGCAGATGTAGAATAATAGATAACAAAGTAAGAATACAACATATGTGACAAAGAAGAGGAGATTCACCTATAGACAAGTGTCAAGGATGTGACCACAGAGACAACACAAGAGAGGGATGTATCAGGAAAATCAAAATAGACCAGGCAATAATTATTTCAGTAACCAAAACCACACACAGTGCAAAGCTCTACAGTCAGATCTTAAGATATCTGAACAGAATACAAACATTACCAGGCACAATAATACACAATATACAAAATCCAGAAAACAAAACACAAACTAGAATTAGTGTTATAATTGGTGGAAAACAAACAGAAATAGAAGACAAAATCACAAAATACATATAAACCAGCAGCTCAAATAAAAAGAACTAGCCAAAATAACTGAACAAACAGAAAGTTGAAAAAGAAAAAAGCATATACAAATGGCTTAATGGTTCAGGAAGCAACCAACCAAACCAAAATAGAAGTGGGATGGCATATAACCAATCAAGAAACAGAAGAGAAAGTCACATACTCAGGTTGTACAAAACATTTTCCATCATCAACAAGAGTAGAATTGATGGCAATTTTAATTATACTAGTTATAATTCCAGTTTAAGCAGAAGTCGAAATATATACAGACAGCCAGGCAGCCATTCAAAGGATTCAAAAAGAAGATAAAGGAAGCTGCCAAATCTATAAAGTACAAACTGGATAACAAAAACTCTGATTAAAAAAATTATTAAAGAAAGATAAGAACAAACAATATTTATTAAAGTCAAAGCACACCAGAAAGAAGAGAACAACGAAGAGGCAGATGAATTGGCAAAAGAAAAAGTAAACAAAGGAGATAAAGCAATTATAATAGCCAACCCAAGAGCAGCAGCATGGAGAATATTAAATTGGAGAGAATACCAGCTAGACACAAATATCAAAGAATTCCTGAAAAACATGCAAAACACCAAATGAATGACAAATTGAATAATACAGAGAAAAAACAGAATATGGATTGAATACAGAGATGAGCTACAAATAGATTGGCACTTTACCTGGGAAGTGCAATACCAATCCAGAATAACTAAAATACATACAAGCTGAAAAGATTACATATATAGAAGAATCAAGTACAGATTACTAAATAGCGAACTTCCTATACTGGATAGGCTAACAGAAAAAAGACCAGATATCTACAAATCAAACAAATGTCCAGAATGCAAGGAAAGAGAAAGCCTAGAGCACTTAATGCATAAATATTGGCAATATAAGATAACAGATGAATACAAAAAGATAATAAAAGAAGAAACTGAAGGATATCAAAGAAATTGCAACAAAGGAAAAGAGAAAGAAGACTCAAAACCAAAAATGCCATTAATTACAAACTCAGAGTGCACAAGAAACTATATAGTAAAGGGAATTCTGACCAAAGAGATAATCCAATATATATATCAGTTTGCAAGGGAAAAAACAAAAGAAGTATGCAGAAGAATTGTTAAGAAAATAACAAAAGTAATCAATGAGCTATGGAAAAAAAGATGTGAAGAAATCATAGAATAGGAAGAAATAAACAATATCAGCAGAGCGGACAAAAGAAAGCGATAACACAGATCATATCAAACAGAAATCGAAAAAGACAAAGAAAAAGAGGAAATAACAGCAAATAGGAAAAAGAATTTGGAGAGAAAATTGCTGGAAAGATGGATTAAAAACATGGACAAAATGACAAGAAACAATTTCTTTTATTTATATACTAGTAACATTAACAATAGCGATATCTTGGCACATAGTTTCAATCTCTATCCATTAGAAAAAGTTGATAGCAACAGCCAATATCTAGGAAACCTTGATATAGTTTAGCATACACTTATCAATTAATGTTATAGCATAGTTTATATACAGAAATGTGTACGAATATATGTAAATATTGACTTTAATAAAGTTTGTTAAGCAAGGTTAAGCTAGTTTAAAAAAAAATAAAATAAAAAAAAATAAAAAATAAAAAACATTGCACACTAAATTTTTTTTAAAAATATATATTTAATAAATAAAATTTTATATAATTTTATATAACCATTTTTGCACAATAAAAAAATCAAATTCCGGTTGTTTTTGAACCAGACTGTATTAATATAATAGTTTAAATAAAAAATTTTTTTATTTATATTATAATTTAAAATAATTTTGAACATTACTATATACAATATTTAAAAAAAAAATCTTTATATACAAATTTTTTTAGAAAATTTTAATATATAATAAATAAATAAATAAATATACTGTATATATTAATTTATTTAATCTTTTATAATAATTTATTTTGATTTTATTATTAGCTTACTGATACAATAAATTTACAAATATCAATAAGTCTTTGGAAAATTAAATAAAATATGGTTTTTTGTAAACAACCTCAATATTTTCTGTATTGATTTTTTCCCCACTAAAAATTTTTTTATCGTTACGACATCAACTTTCTATTTAGGATAAGTATGTTTCATTGACTATATATCTTAAGGCTGTTAAGCCTTGTCTCATTCAGCTTGGAAATAAGTTGTTACTTTTCAATGGCTAAACACCTGCGAAATTTTTTTAAATTTCATCGAAAATCACGAATTCTACTCAATTCTTCAAATTCCGTCTCTCGATTTTTAGGTAATAAAGATATTTATGATGCCTAAATCAGAGTCTAGTTATTACGCTGTTAGAGTCGGTTATAAGCCCGGAATTTACTCTACCTGGTACTACATAATATGTTTGATATGATAGTTTTGTACAAAAACCCCAAATTTAGCTTTAACGCGAAATTTCAGGGAAGAATGTAAAAAACAGGTAAATAAATTCCCGGGTTGCAGGTATAAAAAATTTTCAAAGCTATCAGAGGCACAAGCCTTTATTGCAGGTGCAAAACCAACAGGTAAATAAATTGTCAGTTCGCCAATTGTAATCATTGTGTCCGTCTCACGAATTTTTTAGGAACACGAAGTGAGCTCAAGCCAGAACCCACGATTATAGACAGAAGTTCTGAAGATGTTTCATTAGTATTTATTTCTGAAAAAATTTTTTTTCTGGCAATTTTAGATTTTTTTTCACACATTAATATATTATCTATTAAATATAAAGACTTCTACGTCAATGATTAAAGTGTGGACGGACGGCTGTTCACTAAGCAACGGCAAAGACGGTGCTCGAGCTGGCGTAGGTGTATATTGGGGCGCTGGTGATCCGAAGTAATTATCTTTAGCACATTATCAAAATATTTTCCAAAGTTTACGCATCAAATTTATTATTATTATTATTGTAGAAACCTTTGCGAAAGGCTGCCAGGCCCAAGGCAAACAAATAATAGGGCCGAAGTGATGGTAATTATGAGAATAAAAAAATTTATTGCATTGTTTAAAATATTTTATTAAACACGATACATGAAACTAGGCGATTATCCGTGCCCTAGAGACGTGTCCAGAAAATGATAGACCTCTAGAAATTCGAACGGATAGCAAATATTCTATGAATGGTAGAACGTCATTTCTGCTAATGAATTTTGCTTTTCATCGTAACACTATTAATTCCTTTATTACGGTTAGCCTACAACTCTTGGATACCGAATTGGGAGAAAAACGGTTGGAAAACGAGCACAAATAAAGATGTGGAGAATAAGGATTTGTTTGTTCGCATGATGAAATTGATTAGGG